CCTGAAAATAGCCATAGCAAGGGTCTCCCCTATTAACTTAACCTATTGCGACAGCATTTCCGACACACCCTTGTCGTTTCCCGTTATATACGCATATATCAAAAAATGGAATTCAGACACTTCAAGTGGAAGCTCGGAAGACGGGCTCATCCGTTAGCCTATCTAAGCGTCCATAAGTGACCTTCAGCTAGGCCTAGCTCTTGGATTTGACTAATAAGCAACCGAAGAACAATAGCAACCGAGTCACTGGCACGCTGGCTATCTTATCAAATATCCCCAGTACAACGAGGATGGCTGCTACCTGCTTGAAGTTCAAATCACCGGCTGGGTCTTGCAAGAAATCGAGATTACGGAGGCCAAATCTCACCTCAAGTTTTGCCTCAGCAGTCCATGTAGCTCCTCTGGTAAACAGAACGTGGCGACTGCAATCTGTTACTACTGTATTGAAATCAGATTTGTACGATCACCCAGACCGAGTGCATTCATATCAGCTCAATGTTCCGTAGCTGAATTCGTGATGGCAGATTGACGTTTAGTGCCGTAACTCGTAACACCTAGGGATCAACTGATGTCCTTGAGCACAAAAACCGAAAAGGTCGCCTCTAATTTGCACCCAAACTATTACTCACGAGAGCTATTGGTGCCAAAAAACACCTGAAATCAAACACCGCCAAGGTCCTGTATGCCAAAATCCAGCCTCTCCTTGCGACATGAATCGAGAGAACAGACAGTAGCAAGTAGTGATTATTAAAGGCGACAGATTCACCCAACAGCGCCACAGTGATTAAACCAATACAAGTACTTTCCCAATGTTTTTTCCTACAGTCTGAACAAAGTTCCCTAGCGAAGATAGTTCTGCTGCCAACTCCAGAAAATGACGACAGAGTTGGCAAAGCATGGCCAGTTAAACTACTGCGTCAGAGAGGCCACCTTTAAGGAGCCGAGTTCAATCGTCGGAGACAGTTAAAACTGTAGCGCATTAGTCGTCACGTCAGTTGCACTGAGTCACGCTGTTCGCGTAGTCGGTGATGGTTTCGTGGTGGATAATGTATTCAAAGTCGAGCGCTGGCGTGAGGCGCCGAACGCCTCCTCGACCTCGATAATTCTCCAGCCAGTGCCGATCGCCTTTACAGAGCAATTTTGCTCCTCTTCAGCCTATGCTGTGTCACGTGACACCCACCCGCTCCATCTCCCCTCTCCACATTGCACGAGGACATTCAGACACCTAATGGGTAATTATTACCAAACGCACAGGCACGCCAACGGAATTCCCCGTAATCTCATCATGACAAG